ATAAAATATCCTTTCTTGTAGCTGACTATTTCAACATAAATTTAAAGAGCCTTTGTAACTTCGAGACAATTACTTTGGTGACTCATACTATTGATACATAATTTTTATTTAAAAAAATCTTTAAAATTATAACATAATATAAATTTCAGTCCTTTCAGATGCATATTTTCTTATTGTTCCATCTATACACTATAATTATAGTTTTAGTTCACTTTCACTTGTTTGTCTTCTGTTTCAAATTTCAATAACTTTACACATTTTTAGTAATTACATGCTCATCATTTGTCCACAATTCTGTTTCAAACTCAGTCTTGAAATGTTCACATCTGTTTTGCAGAGCTTTCCATCTTCTTAACTTTCATTTCCTCTTTTATCTTTGTAATCTTTCATTCTTTTTCAAAAGCTGTTAATTTAGTATCAAGTGATTCCAATTTATTATCCATATACAGAAATAATTTTTGAAGCAAATCTGATGTAATTCTTTTCTTTACAGGTTGCTCTAAGAGTTATTTTCCTCTCTTTCATTCTTGCATGTTTCTGGCAGTTCCTATTGTGGTATTATAAGCCAAAATTAAAACTGTCTCAGGTAATGGAAAAGTTATCTTTTTCCTATTTTATCTTCCTATTCCCTTAATACATTTGTCTCTATTAGCACTCTGTAATTTCAATTAGCATCAGTCTGGCTCATATTTATCTTTTGTTTTAAAATCCACCAATTGTCCTACTCCTACTTCAGGAAACAGATGGGCCATCTTTATTTTATAATCTGATTGTCAGCTCCAATGTCTTTAATACCTTCCTTGTTACTAAACTTTTATTTTCACCCAACCTATTTTTTTAAAGATTCTTTTCATTAAAAAGAACAAACAAATGAATGGAAAAATAATATACTAATAGCAAAACCAATAGCAGATCCCTGCATCAACTGTCATAACTGTAAGAATGCTTCTGAACTTCTCATGGGTCCCAAAAACTGTTATTATAAAACAGAAATGTTTGGTCAGCAGTGGAAGATTTTTTTAAAAAATTCCCAGTGTACCCAGAAAAAAATGGAAAACAAGCACAGAAGGTAACATTCTGAGTTAGCAAGCGGATGGATGTGTGTGTGTGTGTATCTATCTATCTATCTATCTATCTATCTATCTATCTATCTATCTATCTATCTGCAATTGCATCATTATCAGAAAATAAAGATACTTCTCACTAAACATGGTTACCTTCAGGTTACACATATTCATCAAATCCAGTAATATCACTTTTATTGAATTAAAATATTGCTGGTGAAATATTTCCCCTGATTTTGTAGGGTTTAAAAGTCTCTTCTGGAGAACCAGAGGAACTTTGTTATGGGGGAAATGCCAGGTTTATAGGAGAGAGAAGAAGAAGATCCATTGTCAAAACAGCTGTTTCCAGACGTCAGTAACTGTAGCCCTAAACATATTTGTTGTTTTTGTTGTTCAGTAAGTTTCAACTCTTCATGACCTAATGGACATCATTTATCAGAATTGGATATAACTTCTATTTAAGAAAAACAATGTAGATTGTTGATAATCACTGTGTACAAGTATTTGTTTACATATTTTGAGAAAGAGAGTCCTGGCAACAAACCAACATTTTCTTTCTTTTCTGTTTGGGTTACCGTAGTTTAACCAATTCAGTACAAAATATTTCTAGCTTAGAAGAGGGATCCCCATGGCTTTAACATAACATTTTATTGTTAACTGTTATAACTATTGTTTTATCCTTAAAACCATTTGGTTATATATGGAATTTGATCACATGTTCATTGCAAGTGATAGAGCCATTATCTGCCATTATTTATGATGCACCACACAAATCTGGAATACTGATTTAGGATTAAGCTCTAAATATACTTTAAAGGAGGGAAGTGCCACTACAATGTAGCTATGATACATATCTGTTACATTTATTTATTTATTTAGCTATTAATTAATTAATTCATTCATTCATTCATCCATTCACTTCTATAGCTGCCCTCTCAATCAATGACTCTAGGTCCCTACAATTCCAAAACTAAAAAAACAAACCAATAAAAACATTTAAAACCAATAGAAACTTCCAAAATAAATATACACAGCAGCCATTAGCCAATTAACTGTAAAGTTAAGAAATGGGCCCTTAACATATTTAGTGCATCAGGCTCAGGAACATAGCCAAGTTTCTAAAATATTACGAAAGGCTAACAGTGTTGGGAGTATTCTAATCTCCCAGAGGTGGATATTCCAGAAAGCAGGGGCCACTGTAGAGAAGGTCCATCTTCTAACCTCTGCCATGGTTGATCGCTATGGTTGATCCACATGATGCTCAATCTGCTAGTTTGAGATTCCTAGAAAAAGGCATTCCTAATACATGAATATGGATAGATGCACAAGCATTTTTAAGTGAAAGTAACATTTTATAACAATAAGGGGAAGAACGCATAGAAGCTTATGTCTTAATTATTTTTCACTCGAAAACAAAAACAAAGGTACTTACTTGGCTTCCAGTGCCAGTGCAATGATTCCTGCAGCCATAGGTGCAGAAGCTGATGTCCCTGTATGACTGTCTGTACAACGCTGTCTGAGGTCTGTAGTGATCTGGGGAGGGGGAATGTAAAATTAAGAATAACATTACTGCAGATAACAGAAAGTTTCTTTTGTTGAAATAACTTATATGCATTTGAAACTTTATCATTCAATAGGATAACTTTTTTTAATGCTGGTTTTAGCTTTCTAAAGCATATGGATATCCAAAAGTCATTTGCTTCCCAGAGTACTATAGTAATGAAATGTCTGGCAACAGTCCTATATTACCTTCATGAGACACTTGTTAGATGATTTGACACTTGAACATTTTATGGTAGTGCTGCAAGCAAAATTAAATTCCAACCTAATTCAAATTTTATTTTTTCAGTGGCAAGAGTAGCAGCCCATTTTTATCCCTTTGAATAACACAAGCAGACACTCGGAATACATTTCTGCCTCAACCGAGCTGCTTATATGATAGCAGTTTCTGCAGATTCTCACAACTGTGGAGAAATGTACAGTTGTACATACATTGGCTTCTACTTGAGTTGACATAATCAGGGTCCTTTCTCATGTAGGAGCTCCCACAGTTTCTGCCCTGTGGCTATTTATGCTGTAGGTCTAGAGGAATCCAAGTTACATTGCAATGTCAATGGGGCATCTTTGAAGTGTTTGAGTATTAACATGATGAGGGTTTTGGATATCTGAAACTTGATTTTCAACAAAATCCATATAAATAATTTCTGAGGGAATGGGACCATATCTAGCCTTTCAAAGTTATGCCAGAATCCTCATTCTGAAAACAGATGGGGCAAGGATAAATGCTTGGTTTAGGGCAGAAAAAAAGGAAAGCTTTATATTAAATATATTTACTCTGATTATTCCCTGTTATTTATTTTCTTAAAATTTCCATATATATTCTATTAAAAAGTACATTCATTATGTAATACAAATTGTTTTTAAAACCATAAATGCGCCTCATTTTAAAATAGTATTTTTAATGAATATGTAATTGTTTTATCTTCAACGCTACTACTGCTACAGCTACATATAGAAAGTATTAAAATATACATTATAAATTACTATTAAAGGTTTTCTCCCTTATTAATTCTAATTCCAATTAGCTTTGGAAATTAAATATTAATTGGAAATTAGGTGTGAAATATTGAAATTTTATATAAGCCATCATCCAGTTTAAATAAAAATATAATCTGAATATGTAAAACTTTGTAAACATATCCAAACTGATTTACACTTTGTAAACATAGGCAATCTTAATAAACATATCAAAACTACCATTATGTAGTTATACCATTAGAAAATAAATATTAAATTACAATTATCAAAATATAATTAATAAAAGAAGCATACATTAGAACTGAAGGTACTTCATCCATAGAAAAGTACATCAGAGATCAACATAAGAAAAAAGAATAATCATTTTTTGTAAGTATAGCCTCAGGACACAATCTACAAAGCTGCTAAAACATGGAATATACATTCGTGGAATATAAATTGCAACAATAAAGGCCACTGCCAGTAAATGATAAATATAACTGCCAGTAAAAGCGTTAACAGAAAGCCAAAAAGGTGACATACATAGGCACTTAGTTATGTTTGTGCTGTAACTTTGAAACCAGCAACAGTATTCTGGGCAGAGGATAGGGGTGGGTGGGTGGGAAATAATGGAAAAAAACAAATTCTTGCTTTCCTAACAATTGTTAAACTACTTATCATGTGCCATAATTGATAATTTTGTATTCAGGTCTATACAAGTTGTTAATCAAGTATCAGTAACAGTATCACTTCTGTAAATTTCTCAGTGACTTGGCATTAAATAGTATGGTATATGTTAAAACTTTGTCAATTTGTCTACATTGTATTTCTTAAAATTTGGTCCTAGGGTCTCTGGACATTCACAAAACCCTTTCAGGGGTCTGCAAAGTCAAACGTATTTGCTAGTTTATGCTGAAAAATAATACACTATTAAAATCCCATCAAAAAAACTGTGATAAGCAGCAATGGCAGTGAATGTGTCAGTTGTAATATAAATGTTAACGATAATCTATATTCTTTTGGGATCCTATGTTATTTTCAAAAGTGGGAAGGGGTCCTGAAAGAAAAAAAGTTTGAGAAACAATGTAAACAACATGAAAGAAAATTTGTATAAAAGGATGTATTGTTGGTATTTAATCCCTGATAAACTGTCAAAGATGTACATGGGAATGTCAAGTAAGTGTCGGAAATGCAACCTATATCTTTTATCACTTCTGGTGATAAATATCAAATATCAACAAATATTGGAACATTTATGTAATTGATTGCTTGCTTTTCCTTTTTAAAAAATTAAATACAAATAATGTCAAGTATTTTTTAGTCATTTAATCTATACAAAGCAGAGTCACTTGGAAATATAAAAAGGGAAAATGGAAATTTGTAGAAGCAATATCTTGCTTTTGAGGTATCAACATTTAGTTTAAGAATAGTTCCATTATTTCAGCTAACAAAGTAAATAAACTATTATGATAGAGATCAAGGCACGAAACAAACTTCACATCAATCTATTGTATTACTTAAGCTCCACCTAAAGAAGTCTCCAATGAAAATCTTCAAAAAATATATCCTAGACTTATAACTCCTCTGTATGAAGCAAAAGGTTATTGTGCTTCTCCTTATGAAGTGGCTGTCACTGAAGATGACCCAGAAACTACAGCTGGCATAGAATGTAATTGTCTGAAAGTAGAAGCCAATATAGTAGAGAGGTGTTGTTTGCTGCACTATTACTTTCAAACAGCATTCTCACTGAGGTTAGTTAAAATTGTGCTTTTCCACAGAGATTTTGAAGAAGAGGATTCTTATTGGGTTAACAGCAATACTAGGAGGTCATTCGATTATTTTCCCTGTCTGAGGTTGGTTATACTTTTATGTTGGCTTTATTTATTTTCTTAATATGCTGTGACTGTAAGCATCCTGGACTATGAAACTGATGGCATACATCATATTATTTATAAATAATAAATAAATGTAGACCACAGATTAATAAGAACAGTAATATCCAGAATTAGTTTTGAAGAAAACAGCAAAATTTGTCAATAGCACAATTATTTGTAATTTCCTTTCCTAATAAGGTTCAAATAAATTTTTTAAAGTTGTCAAATCTTCAGGAGAAGTGTTTTGGACTATAGAGGTTGAAGAAGCAGGAGGGCAAGACATTCTTAGTGACTCAACAGATTTTATTTATATTAACTCTGGATTCAAATTATATTTCTTGTTAGATTGTTAGTTTTAGCTGAAGGCTTCATTGCAACATTATTAATAGAGTTATAAACATAATAAGATTAGGCATAATTAGATATAGGCTGGATTACGGCCATAGACACTGAATTATTATTCACATATTAATCCCATCACCATTTATTTCAATTATTTAAAGAGGCATTTAACTCAGAAAAGGGTAACAAAAATGCATTGAATGGAAATTCTACTCGAGCCATGTAAAATGTTTTGATGTAAACTGGCTGAACTGATTTTTCTTCTTTAAATCAAGGTTGATTAAATATATCTGTTTTGTATATTATTCCAATTACCACCTAATATTTTTTAAAATGATGACAACCCAGAAGTTGCCTTGTTTGATTCAATACCTGCTCTCCTCCCTCATATTTAAGTGTTCTCTGCTCTGTTTTCCTTCATGAGCCTTGAAGATCTTTCCCCAGTCCTTGCATGGAAAATTTGGAATTATTTACAGGTAAAGTTGTTTTATGGCTTTTCCCTCCAGATTAATCATTCTGTTTTTATACTTGGTTCACCATTCTAGCCATCTTTAGTCAAATGGACTTATAATTAGGGATTCTGGAGTCAGGTGGCCTCATAATTAGGCATGTGCAAACTATTCTGCCATTTTTTTTTCAACTTGAAGTGGCAAATCCAAGTGTTCTAAGTATAAAACAAAACATGAAAATTTTCTTGTAAAATGAAATCTCAAAATAAATATGACCCTTTTGAGCAGTGTCCTCCATTTTGGGGGGGGGGGTACGGGACTATCCCAGGTGATGTGGTTTTGTAGATTATGACTGAATTGCTTTTTTCCCCTCCAAATCTTTTTCAGTCAATTAGCAGAAACTATGAAGTTTCTGTTGTTACTGATTCAGATTGGAGGAAGCAAAATGAAGTGGCATATGAAGAAAAAAAATCAAAGATCAAGAAATTTGGGTAGGATCATCAAATTACATTATATTACAAATTGTATGATCTCAAGTTCTATACAAATAATCTGGAGAAATTATACAGTGGCGTCAATTCTGTTATTGCCTGGGACTAGCCACATTCTTCTCATAACTAATAGGCTTCCTTGAAAGAATCTGAGTTCCTGAATTGAAAAGGGGCATTTTGGAAGAAGCTATTTCTTTGAGGCAGATAAGTGGCTGTCTGAAAATGCATGTAGATTTATAATAGACAGATGCAGTTGTAAATTACAACTGCCAGATAACCCAGAATTACGATTAAAACTGGATGCTGTTATCACTCCATCACTAAGTAGCAATTTGAAGCTGTCAAGATTTCAAGAAACCTTTAAAATAAAACTGCCCCAACAGTTGCTTGCATGACTTTGAATTCATTTATCAAATAGATAGCATAGGGTGACTGGACAGGTTTAAAGGCATGGTGCTACTCAGTCCAATAGTTTAACTGCAGTTTAACTTTGAGATAAAGACAAATAAAGCAGAATCATGTTTTTTGCTATTGTTGCTCTTGTATCAGAGAAATTTGAATAAAGCTTGATAGGGTATTATCCCCTTCTTGAACACTAGAAGCCAAAGCTAGTCTAGAACACTAGATTAGCACTGATGACATTATCTAGTTTGGGTAATGAAACATCTTCAAGAAGAAAATTTCAGAGAGCCCCAAGTACACCTTATTTCAACCCTGAGCTGCAACTATTCTCCTTTATTAGTACTAGAAGCCAAAATATTTTTTATACATTTTGCATGTAGCATGCTGTAATCTGTGACTAAAGGTCATTCAAAGTTGTCTTTGGAATCCTTGCANTAACTCTGGAAATATTTATTTAA